ACACACACACACACACACACACACACACACACACACACACACACACACACACAAACAGACCCACACCCATTGGGTGTATTCTTATCCCTGTACACTTTTCAGCACAGTACCTTTGTGACTCTCAATGACCAGTGCACTAGTTTGTGAATTAAGACCCACTCAATATCACATTATTAAACACATATACCTGACAACATAATGTAGTGGTTTTCGCATTTCTCTGATCTTGAGAGATACAGATTGCTTTGTTTTGCATCAGGAAAAGCTGCTAGTATAAAAACTCTGCCAAATCTAACATAACTGACTACACTCAAAAAAAAAATATTCTTCACGCTCAATAAACATGAAGCAATAACTTTGACTAAAATACAACTGAAATGCATAAAATCAAGGTTCATTGTTCAAATAACTAATCATTAGGGGAAATATGCTTATAAACATAATATGAATGTGTACCAATAAAGCAAATTTCATTAGACAAATTTCCATTAAATTTCATACTTTATATTGTACTTATTTAAGTCAATCAGTTAATACCATTTTGGACATAAAGATTTTTTGAGTGTGTGGTGACAACTTGTCAAAAGGGAGCAGCCAAAATAGCTTTTATATAAAAACTATTTTGATAATGTTACCTTTAAGAAAAAATATTATGAATATTCACTCTGCATTCAATACAGAGATTTACAGAAATAACTCAAAAGCCGATATTTTGGTCTGTTTTCTTTGTTATCCCAATAACTCTCTGCCTTTGGTCATATGATCAATATTGAATCAAAATGTTTCATTATCATGAGATGTTTCACAGGTACTCTTACCTTGAGCCCACTTTCGGTATGTGTATATACATAACATGAATACAACAGTATACAGGAAAAACAGCAGGACTGTGCACACCAGCTTGGGCAGAGACATCAGAGGTGGAGGGACAGAGCCACTCACAGGCTGAACTCTGGCTGTGAGGAAGAAAATAACTAGTAAACATGAAACATATTTTTTTTATATGACTATAACACGTAATGGCTGTTAGTTGGATGTTTAAATAAGACAGTAGGAAAAGAAGCATAAACACAGGTCAGAAGTAGGCCATGTGTCATTGAACTATTCATTTTTTAACCAAAGAAAACAAGATGGTTTCTGATGATTTTTTGAATAATGAAATTAGCTTTTTATAATACTTTTGGGTCTAAGATGTGACAAAATTTATGTCACTCATGACCCTGCAGACTCTAAACAGAATGAAGACTGTAGATTAACAGTTCAATTTTTCAGAATGATAAATGTTTTAACATATTAAAGCTAAACATATTTCACATATATTTGTGCTGAACATCACTGTCACCTCTCACAGCCAGAAAACTCTTTGGTGACTCTCCTTTTGTGGGGTGTTGACACTTGTAGAAGCCTTCGTCATACTTGGACACATTGAGAATCATCTTTCCTTTTGGTTCTTCTCCGAAATATATATTGTTCTTGTAGAATATAGCATTGAAATTGGATGTAGAAGTTTTATCATTTCTTTCCTTGTAAGAACAGCGAAGTGTCACATTGTCTCCCTCGGAAACAGGAATTGCGGGGCTCTCTAAGATCACAGCTCCAGCTGAAATATAAAAAGGTTAAACTTATTTCATTCATTAAATTTGAGAATAACTTCAGCACTCTTTACAACATGTCTGATTACTCTTTTGACCTCTAAAGAGCTGTGGGCAGACATTTGGCACTTGATACATGGTGACTCCAGGTGCTTCTTTTGCTTGATCTCAACTGCAAGTGAAAGAAGCAGTTTTTTTTCTTTTACTGCCACTGCTTCATGTCTGTGGGCTTTGGCCGCAGCAGAGGTTGTTATGAATCATGCTATTTGTTTGTACTTTGTTATTGCTGTCTGTTGTCAACTCATCCATCCAATTCATCCGGGGAAACAACAAGAGGTTCTCAGGCCAGCCAAAAGATATAATCTCTCCAAATTACAACAGTCACCTCTGCATGCTTTACAAGAGAGATCCTACAATAATACAGGGAAATAAAAAACAACAATCAGCCGTCATGAGCGTGCATAGATACGGAATGGGTTTTCAAAGGGCAATGTTTTGGCAATAGTGGTAGGGGTGTTGAAGTCTTGGAGGTCAGCATGAATGAGCTCTAAGTAGTAAACTGCAAGCTGGAGAGTGCCAGTTTTTTGGAGCTGAAACCAGGATGAAGAGGGCATGATAGCCCACTCTATGAATTAATAACTCTGCGAGAGCCCAGTATGTGTCTGTCTTTGATAGGGATTGATTTTCATTGTCTACGGCTTGACCTCATGGGGGCATTTTTGTGTCATTTTTTCTCTTTTTGTCTGGTCTTTGAGTTTACTGAAATTGGATTTCGATACTTTTTTTTCTGCATTTTGAAGATGTGTCACCAAAAGACACCTACTTGACACAACACAGCCTATGGATATTGAGGGCTATTATAAATAATTTTTTCTATAAATGTTAACATTTTGGTTAAAACACAGGAGACACTGGAGCGTGTAGGGATACGTGAATGGATATTCATTAACTTCAAGTTAAATTAATAAAACACAATCTTACAAATGGTTTATGCACAAGTCCTTTTAAATGTTGTAACTTGACGTTCAGAAATGTTCCCAATATTGTTTCCTTTCACAGTTTTGAGAAAATTAATGTTAGGTTGATTTTTATAATAGTTGCCATTATTAGACTTAAAGTTGTAAACTTTGTCCTAAAACTGCATGTTTAGATTTTTTTCTGTTCCTCCTCTACATCTAGGTGGGGGATGCAATAGAAAAGGGTTTAACTGCAGACACATGTGAGATTCTGGTTTCCCTATCTGGTAAGGGATGTTCACTCCTGGCCATTTAGGAGTTTGCCTATACTTGTATATGGTGAACCATTAAAGTCAAGCCATATACGGGAGTGGGAAGATGACCCTTTGGATAAATAGGAAATGTGGTTGGACAGTTTTAAGCATATATTGTGTGGCAGGAAGTCACATATACAGACACACACACACACACACACACACACACACTCAGTGCCTTAGCTTTTATGGCACACTATATGGGTTTTACATTGTGTAACCAGTTTAAACCAGTTTGACTGTGTTTGTTTTCTGCATTTTGAAGATGTGTTACCAAAAAGAGCCAATAAAAGAGCCTGTAAGGGAAGTCAGTTTGAAGTTGGCTGAACATCTTGCCGGACTTCCCTTGCCAGCAAGTGAGAACCATACAGTGTCTTTCTTTTGTTCACAATGATGAACCTCTGTGCCAGCGAGGTCTGAAATTAGACTTAACAATGAATCGGAGAGTGAGAGAGTACACTCATGTCTTTATACTTGTCAAAGACTAAGATTTGTCATAATTTTGGTCAACAGCTGCATACAGCATGTGTTTTTAAAAAAAAAAAAAATGAATGGCTTAAAAAGAGTAAAAAGGAGAAGTCCAGTATGTATCTCTAAAATAAAGTCCAGTATGAGATAAAGCACAAGCATATTTGATAGCATACCAGCCACTGTGATGTTGACAGTGTTGCTGCGCTTCCCCTGCTCAGACTCACACCAGTATAATCCACTGTCTGATGGGTAAACATCTGAAAGGATGCAGGACTCATCAGGGTCTCCAAATCCACCCTTGCATGGCTGCAGCGTCTCAGAAGAAGTGTTTCGCCTCACTGTCCAGTTGCTGGAATTCCCTGAAGCTACACAGCTTAGATGGATGTTCTCATATCGAAAGAACTGACATTTGTTTGGATAGATGTTCAGTGTGGCTGCTGTGGTTTAAAACAGGAAAATAAAACAAATGACTTTTTTTAAAAGTAATTTTGTATTTGATTACAATGACAAAGAGTGTACGTCCAGATGCATGCTTAATCATCCAGATAAGTAAATCTTCAAAAGTTGATTCTGTTCATCTGGACATAGCGTTTTGTGGGAGAAACACTTCTTCACTCATCCAAGTGACTTCTTCAGTTTCAGCTGACTGAAACTGTCATGGATCGCTGTGTGGCAGGCAGGAGGAGGACCCAAAATGCAAAACTCACAGACACGGGGATGAACTCAAAAATCACAGCTTTAATGCTGGA